ACACACACACACACACACACACACACACACCACTCTGTCTGGTCAGCTATCCTTGTGGGGACTCTCCATAGGCGTAATGGTTGTTCTACTGTACAGACCGTGTATTCTATTGCCCTACACCAACCCTACCCCTAAACCTACCCCTCACAGGAAACTTTCTGCATTTTTAGATTTTCAAAAAAACTTCATTCTGTATGATTTATAAGCTTTTGTACCCGTGGGGACCACAATTTAGGTCCCCACCGTGACACGAGTCCCCATGAGTCTGTGTGTAGTCCGGTTTAAGTCCCCACCAGGATATATAAACCAGCACACACACACACAGACAGACAGACTATTCAGTCAGTTTTTTTTTTTTTTTTTAATGTAAGGCTTGCTTTATTCATATGATTTGTGATTCACATGCAGCTATAAACTTTATGGGTCAGCCAACTTTAACACAAGCTACCGTATGTATGTACGGTATGCATATGGTGCAGTGACAAATCCTTTACACCATTGTCTGCTCTGTTTTTCTCGTTGTAAACTTTTATTATTATTTATAGGCCTATATTTAGTTTCAATTAACGCAAAATGTGAAAGCAATTTCTTACTTTTCTTACTTCTTACTAAAGCAGTTTCTTTAAGTTAAACCAACAATATTTTTACAGTAGGTTATATCAGAAATTGAGGAGGTGTGTTCAAATAATGGTGGCGTTGTAATGTGTTTTCTAATAGGCCTAGTTATTAGGACAATCCGATACGGACAAAAAAAATAATAATAATGAGTATCGTTTCATCGACCCATACATATGGTACGATTATATTACGTGTGATGTGGTAAAGTTACTTTAGGTTCTTTACTTGTGTACTGCGTGATCAGAAATGCTGAATTATGAACAGTTTCAACTTGTTTATTTGAAATGTATATTGTGTTTTTCCAGCCTCAGAGTGTGAAAGTTTAATTAACACATATACTAATACGAAGCTGCGCTAGGTTGCTCTGAATTATCAAAGTCATAAGCGGTTGATAGAATTATGTCAGACAATGTTCAGGTACTACTGGGTTCGAGTGAGTGTCGTTCTCGCAGTGACCGCCAGATGGCAGCCGCGCCATTTGCGACCTGCGCTTCTGATGTCCCCGAAACAAAGAACACATTCAGATACTGTAGCTAAAACACACACCGTTTTGTGAAACCTTCCTTTAAAATGCATAATTTAGACAAAGTAATGATACAAATTACAAATGGAACGTCTGCAAGCTGGTACGTTCAGATATAAATGCTTAATAATCAAAAAAATAAAACAAGCATGGCTGAATCACATATTTATTATTTATTATTTAGAGTTTTTTCTAATAAGCAGGGTTATGGCTTAACATTAAAATTCTCAAATGTAAAAAAAAAACAATGTAAGATTTTGCAAATTATAGCCTATTTAACATTATAAATTGAATTTTGTGATATGAAGTTTTTCATTTAACATGTTTTACATTTCACTTATAAGAAAATTAATTCTTAAGAAAATAATAACATTTCTTTAGGATTCTTTTATACTTTTAAAAAATAAACAGTGGGAACCTGTGGCTCTTATATAACTGTACTTTTGAGAAAAAAATATGGTGTAGGCCCCTGAATAGCTTCACATGAGCTAAAAGTAGAAATAAAAAAATCGTGCTGCTGAAATAAATTTAAGAATTAACTATAAGTTTATGCTCCTGAAATGTTAAACTGAAAATCACAACTCTTTTTTTGCTCTTGTTTTCTTAAAGTGCTTTTTGAAAATGAGTTTACCATCAGTCTACACTATTAAATAACTGCTAATTTAGAGGCAACATTAACCAGTGCACATAATCGATAACCTATAATGCCATTCTCATAATCTCAGCTGGTTATAATTCAGTCAATCAGATTACGCAACACACAATTCTGCTGATGCCCACAGGTACCGCAAGCAATTGTAATGTAACGAAAAAGTCACTGACTTCTACCTTCCCATAAACATGCTTGCATAAATTCATTTTCTCTGTCTGTCCACACACAATAAAAGTTCTAACACAACCGCAGCATTATGGAAGCATTAGAAGATGAAAAAAAAAAACCTC